CACTGAAAGAAGAGTTTGTCAAGTTAGCATGCACCGGTATGCTGATGTACTAAACCAGCTGAAGCTGAAGGACTCCAGCTTGTCAAGATGATGAAACGTACCTGAATGTGACACAAGGTTCCAGCTCTTTTCAAATTCATTCCTGAACACCTCGCCCTTCACAAAGGGCTAAGGGGGAACCCCACTCTTCCAGGCCTTCATGTCAGTCTCACCAGGATCAGTTATATCATCTTTATGGTACTCAAATTGCTTTAGCTCAGTTTTTTAAATGAAAGATGGATTCTGTGTTGTTCATATCTGATTAAATGTAGGTTTTCTAGTCATGAAAAGGGAAAGAGATAAATATTTTCCTGTTCCTTTGACTAATATAACATTCAGCTCATACTCTGGCTGTGAGGTCTCATACTATTTCTGGAGGAACATTTTTCTTGATGAGTAATGCTACTAATTCAGCATATAACTTTACATATGCATGTCGGGGATAACCAGAAGGAGTGGATACAGGTTTTCTTAGCACCTTTCTCCCCTGCCCCCACTCCTCCTTGTGAAGAGTGCTCTTAGCTGTATTCTCTATTCATATTAAACAAAGCATACTTTTCTTAGCAGTCCTGTCAAGATCACGTTTGATATTTTTTTAAACCTAAATAAAACGTGTGCACTCCACAAAATGGAACTGTAGTGTTGTTAATCACTCCTTGGTCTGAGCCCTGCTTTGCTGAATGTTATTAATCAGACAAGGATCAAACTACTATATGTTGATGCAGGCATTTGGTCTGCATATGTGAAAGCTGAAAGGGAAGGAAGGGTGAATGCCCGCACCCGGCCCCCAACATTCCCAGCTATTCAGGCATCTCTTCAAGATCAGCATTCAGAAAAGTTACCTTTTAAGACTATAGCTCCCAGAATCCCCCAGCCAATGTGGCCACTGGATGGATGGAGGTTTCTGGGAATTATAATCCCCCCAAAATAATAACATTTTCAATTTTGACTAAAGACACTGGTGTGTTTAATGTAAAAGCCTGCAGGAGAATTTTGTGTGAGTTTGGCTGAATGTGCCTTTGAGTGTTCCTGTGATTGAGAGTCCTGTTGAGATCAACTGGAGGGCAGTTAACAACAACAAAAGTATCAGGGAAGGCAATTGCAGGGACATTTTGTAAGTACCTTCAGTTGTAAGCAGATTCATTTCTGACAGCCAATAAAGAGTTGGTCTGTTCTAGTGTTTAGCCACATGAGTACTGCTGTGCACCAAGCGGAAAGTTCTACATAGAAATATGAAGCGGTCACAGTAATCCTGGATGGGCAGATGCTACAAAGGACAGGTTCTCCATATGGCTGCATGTGGCATAGGATCAGTTGACAAGTGACTGACATATTGCTGTTGATCTAGAATAAGTCAGCCTAAATAGTGCTCCAAACTGTGGCATCCTGGTTGTTTCTCTAGCAGCCTGGGTCTGATCTCAGGAGCAAACTATTTCTCTCTCTTTCTCTATCCCAACCCAGCCCATTGGTGCATTTTCTTTTTCTTTTACTATCATCACCATAGTATCTCTGCTGATTGTTTTAACATCCTTTGTCTCTAGGAATATGAATCTAGCCATAGTTAATTCTGTAAAGCAGGAGCTGCTGTTCAGAATTGAGTAACAAGATGCTGTTATTGTGCATTAAGATTAAGAAATGAATGAATCCCGTTTATCTGAACAGAAGCAGGAAATAACATAGAGTTTTATCTGCTATTTGCATCTAAGCTGCATTTCATTGTGTCTGGCTAGCATCTGCCATTTAGAGATTTCCTCTTGCAGCTGGATAACAGTCCATGTTAGAAAATGTGTTGTTGTTGCTGCTAGCTGGTATGGCAGCACAAATAGGTTGTCACAAAAATATGCACAAGGGCTCTCTTGTTTGTGGATCAGGAGGTAGGGAGTCTCAATCCTCTAGCAAAATATTCTTGGCAAAATCCCATAATGAAAGATTAAGAGCATAAATATGGCAGATGATAGATGTACCTTTAAAACAGATTAATAATCAAAGATATCTGTTGCTAAAGAATTTCTGTTGCAAGCCTCAGTTGTCCTGTTACTAAAACAACAACAACAACAACCCAGCATTTTAACATGTAATTCCAAATCTCTCTGTATATTTTACCATTATATTCAATATGGCTATTAGAATTGTGTGTTGATTTGTGACAGACATACTAAGAATGAATTTTCTTGACTTTTTAATTCAGGCACTATAAACAATCATCCTCCATCTTCAGAATCTGTTGGTTGTTTTTCATAAATGCATAATGTCCAGACATATAATGTATAAATTGGTCACTTTTACATTCCCTGTGTTGTATACACAGTACTTACACATATGTAAGTAATACATTCATGTATTAGGATGCCCAAATTGGCACTGGTTTGCACAAAATGCCTCCGATTATGATGATGATGATGGTGATGGTGATGGTGATGGTGATGGTGATGATGATGATGATGATGGGCAATGTAGCTTTCAAATTAAAATGATTACATCATAGTTAAAAACCTACAGCAGGTCAATATCATAATATACCATATACACTCAACTATAAGTTGACCTCATGTATAAGTTAAGGGCAGGTTTTGGGGCCAAAATTACAGATTTTTTTTATGACCTATGGATAAGGTGATTAGGAACATATAACAAAGAATCTAAAGGATGGAGCAAAGGGAAACAATGCCAAAGAACTTACAAAATTCTGGCATGCCTAACTATGCTCACCCTACAGGCTGGATCGATGAGGAGGGAACTATGATAAATAATGGTTGTGCGATGTGTACCTGGAGGCAACCAGGTACAAGAAGGGCTAAGAAAACACACACATGTCAAAAAGGATGAAAAGACAAAGTAAAGAAAATGGCACCTATTCTAGCAGCAGTGTGATAGCTTAAAATTTAACATGATAACTTTGCCTGATTGTAATCCAGAAAGGACAGGAGTTCGAAAATGTTAATGCTGGCTGGAGGATTCTGGGAGTTGTAGTTCAAAAAGTAACTTAAAAAAGTGCTATCACTCATACAGAAAAGTGGGAGTGTTCCAGTGGATATTTTAACTGTACATATGTCTAACACTAGCCACTGACTAGCACACTGGATGACAGAAATGTAACAGAAAAAAAGTTGGCTGACTAGCACACTGGATGACAGAAATGTAACAGAAAAAAAGTTGGTTTGGCTTCAAAAAATTAGCCAGCTGATGGCCCTTTATCTTGAGAGCAAGTGTGAAACTGACCTAGTGCTAGGCTGGCCATTCAGTTGCTTAACATGCAGAATATGAGTCAGTGTGGAATATTCTGTTTCATGATCTTTCCCCCTGAAACAGTTTTATGTAACCCTACTTGTAGAATCTGACCTTGTGTGGGAGATATGATTCCACTGTTGCCTCCCAGAAACATTTTTATGAACACCAACTTTGTATCTCAGTGAAGGAGCCCAACATGCGGTGGGTGGAGTGTCAGGCCAGGAGGTATCAATTGCATATACTGAAGTGGATCTGCTTTTTGTCCTTTTTTAAAGTTCTCTGAAAGCCTGGCTTTCCTGCCAGTGTTTATTTTAATTTCCCACTTTCAAGCATTTTGTACTGAAAGTGAAAATGCAGGGGTGTGCATATAAATGTATCTTGTTATTGTTAGCATACGTCAGTGAAGGGGGAAAAGGGCCACTGGTATTCTGGCAAAACTGTCAGATGCCTATGGATTTATGATGCTCTTGGAAATGTATAGTATGTGATTTCCTGAGCACTGTTTCTTTTGCATAGCAAACATGCTTGCTCAATCTAGGAAACTGACAATGTACCAGTTTTCTTGCTACAGATTTTGAAAAGGAGGTTTGGTCACCCCCCCTTTCAAAACCAAAAAAGAAATGAATGTTCTCTCCACCTCATTTAGAAATTCAAAGCCATCCTTCTCAGATCAAATGTTATTTAGCACATACTTTTGTGACTCCTGTTTGTGACTTTAAAACATAGACGTATCCACAGTTTCTCCTGTCAGTGTCTTTGAAGCAACTAGGAAAGATCTTTTTCATTCTGTGGAAAGGTTATTCAGACACAGGACACCATACTGTACAAAGGTTGTTTGTCCACTGGAAATCAAACAATGCATTCTTTGTACTGATTTGTGCAATCCCATTTCCTGATATCAGCCACAATTTTTATCATGTTGGCATGTTGCAAAGAAGCCAATAAGTACGTGTGTGTGTGCATGTGTGTGTATGTATATATATGTGTATATATATATGTGTGTGTGTATATATATATATATACAGGGGTAGGCAACCTAAGGCCCGGGGGCCGGATGCGGCCCCCCGAGGTCTTTGGACCGGCCCCAGGCCAGTCCTGCCACCGTTGCCGCCACCGCCACCTCCCGCCGCCCGCCATGATGATATTGATTATTGTTGTTATTACTTG